GGAGTTGTTCCGCAGGTCTATCTCCTGGAACGTCACGGTCCGTGCCACCCTTTCGATCTCGCGGGGAACTTCGGGTTCGGGGTGCGGACCGCGCGAAACATGACGGGGACGTACGTCCAGAATGGTCGGCAGCGTGTCGAGTGCCGGCAGCGCGGCGAGCAGATTGCCGGAGAGGTCGAGGTGCAGGTGCTCGGCCTCGAGCAGCACGCCGCGCAAAGCGGGCGGTGCGGAGAGACCGGCGGCGACGCAGCGCACTAGCGTAGTGTTAGTCGCGGGCCGCCAGCCGCAGTCGCAGCCCGTCGGGCAGTCCGAGATCGTAGTCAGACTGCACTCCTGCAACGGACGACCGTTCGTACACGCGGTGGCGGCGTGGCCCGAAGACGAGTCGGACGATGAGAAGCGAGACTCGCTACGCACCCAGTCGTCGAGTCGCAGCGCGTCGAGGTCCGTCGGCTCGGGCGCGGCGCAGCGGAGCTGAGAGAACTTAGCGGGCAGGCGAGACGCGCGCCGAGCCTTCTCGAACCAGTACATAGAACAGTTGCATGACAGCACCGAGTCCACTATTATTTTGACCTGTTTAAACCCAACAACAATACTTCAACCGCTAATCTAGAGACAAAGTGACATATTAACCGCGCGTTGATCCTTAGTACCTACTTATTTTTAGCTTAATATTTGGAACAAAATCAAACCGGCAAAGTGTTTATTGAACCTGTTCTCAAACCTCGGGTGGCTCCAAACGACGCTCGAGGGTTTGAAGTTCGGAGGGGTACAGCACGATGGTCTCGATCGGGTTGCCGGATAGGTCGATGGTAACGTTGTGTTGCAGCCACTTAAGATCATCCAGCAGCAGCTCGGTGACGTTGTTATCAGCAAAATGTAGCACACGCAGCGCGGGCATTCCATGACGCCAGTCATCGCATAACCGCGTCGCGTTTGTACCATTCAGCTGCAGAACGCTCAGGCCTTGTAGCTCCCACAGTACGGACCGCGCTACAAATGACAATTCTGTTTATTTAACTCATCGCTCATCGCTAGTATTATATTGTAAGGTTCGCAAATGACAATAACACGCCTACCGTACGATTGTCGCTCGGAGAGAGAGCGCGGACACAGGTCTCCGAGGGGGTTGAAGGCGAGTGAGAGCATGTGAAGTGACTCGTGTAACGCTTGCAGTGCGACCAGCGCCGTACCATGCGCCAGCGAATTATACGACACGTTCAACACCGATAATCGTGTGCCCTTGAACACACCACTGCAAATCAAAAGTAATGTTTTATTGGTAGTGTGTAAAATTTTCTCGCGATTTAATATGCGCTTATGAAATCGTGTCTTGAGAGAAAAAGTAACATTTGTCCATTATTACCTGGACAGCGCGACAAGGTTATTGTGCGAGAGGTCAAGTCGCTGCAAGCGTGGTACTGCGGCAAACATGTGTTCGGGCAGCACCTTCAAGCGATTGCCCTTTAGAACAAGAATGTGTAAATTTCCTGCAATTAAACAGATAACATAGCTACATTACGTTCTGCAGTTCTGGTAGAAACTAGTAAACTTTTGTGGGTTCACTTACTCGAACGATAATCGACGTCGCCGAATAAATCAGCCGGAAGTTCTATAAGGCCGTTATTCGAGAGGTTGACTATGTAGAGGTTAAAGTTTTCAGAGAACAGTTGTGCGGGCAGGTGGAGCAGCGCGGGGCATCCAGTCAATTCGAAGCGAAGGAGGGCGGTTGCGCCCCGCAGTGCATCGGTCGCGATGTTGTGTAATTGCCGCAGCTGCGTTACCTGCAGAACCTGCAGTGCGGTACAATCGCGCAGCCAGTCGCGTGGCAGCTCCTCCACCGTGGCAGTGTACAACCATAGGCGCCGTACCGCACCGCATCCGTCCACGGAGACATTCTCAGCATTACTACAATGTACCCAAGAAGAAATGATTTAAGACACATTGAGCCAACAGCGTCTAGATTCAAAAATTAAAAGGGACAACCAGTAACACGTACAAAAACGTAACATTCTCCATGGTGGATTTTTTGGAGAGCAGCGACTGACGGAGCGGCGCTGTGACGTAGGCCCGGCGCAGCGCAGTGGCAGCGGATAGTGTCGGTGTGGCGTGCAGCTGCATGTCGGTGAGGCGTAACGTCTGTAGCCGTTGAAGGCGTTGGAATGCAGCTGCGCAGCCGTCCTCACACTTCAGCGTAGCGTCTATGATCTCCAGCTCCTCAAGTTGCTGCGGCAACGCTAGCAGCGTGTCTAGCGTTAGCGCTACTCCCAGCAGCTTCAAAACGCGAAGTGATTTGTCGAACGGGGACAAGAAATCTGAGTCAACGTGAACCTTCGGTTCCGTGTAGCCATGCGTGTGGCGCACCTGCAATGCGCGCAGTTGCGGCAGATTTGTGAAGTGCGCCCGTGACAGGTTGGTCACGGGCAGGTCAGCCAGCGTTAGGTTGATCCTCGGTGTGACGTTGAGCTTGTGCAATATCGCCGCGTACCCTTCCAGTGGTGGCGCGCAACCCAGAAAGTGGGCGCGCTCAACGTTGCGCTCGCAGTCGAATTGCGGCAGCGAGACTCCGTCGAGACTCACTCCCTGTATGCACTTCAGCGATACGTACTCCTCGTCGATCAATATTTCCACCTCCACTTCTTTTTCCGTGCCTATTAACATTAACATGGTAAGTGCAGTTAGCTGTGGTAATGACCGATGTTTCTAATGAAATAAATATTTTAATATATATATATATACATATATATATTAAATATATATAAAAATTATATATATATATATATACGGCGGTTTAGAAATGAAAATTTTAGTCAATGTCAAAGTCAAATAATAATTTATTCCATTGCCATTTATTTAAGCTACTGCTCATTCGCTACGCTGACTTCTCTGAGAAGAACGAGCAAGAAACTCTAGAGACGGCTCTTTTCAATAAACTTAAATGCTATGTAATTCACTTTGAATCATATTCGTGTGGAGTCTAGACTCATGTCGCCTTTCCATACATCTAGGAACACCAGTCAGTTTATTGCGTGTACTGAATATTTATACACATAGTTAAGTAAGTTTTTAAGTTATAAAACTTCTATACACTTAACTGCGGAAATGTATCGCGAATGATATAATTTTAATTAGAATGCAGTTCACGGCTATTTCATAATAAAACAAGAATGTCTGCCGGCGCGGTTTTCCCCGGCTGCCTATTCTCCACATTACACAGTTGGCTATAGACATGGTAACTCCGGAGTCAAAGATTCAAATGATCCAATCCCGCTAGCGGATTCGATTCCCTTATTGAAACCGACGCAATGTTACCGTCTCCGCGGAGTTATGCATCCGGGTTGGGTTTGGTACATTCGGATCGCAACTCTTCTCGGTTCCTTTTGGATGGGTTTGGTTGGTTTGTTTGTTGTTGTTCCTTCCTTTTTTTTTATTGTGACTTGGCAAAATGACTGCACCGCGCATGATGGAAAGGGCGAATACAGTCCAGAGATGAGAGGGTAAGGGTGTGTTCCCATTATGTCCTGACGACAAATGGTCGTGTAGTTTAAGGTGTCGTGGTTTGTATATTTAAACGAAGTTGTTCACGCATAGAACAACACGATTAACTTCACGACTCTTTTGACGTTACGACGACAGTCTGTCGTGACAATGGGAAGACCTAGAATGACAGTAGTTTGACGATAATTAAAACGACACCATAAAAATGTGACGACAGGTAATCGCAGCTTCAAACGATTTGTCGTGCAAACGATAAGGCGCCTGCCGTGAACCGATAAATTGTCGCCACGATCTAGTGGGAACAGCTAGACACGATAGTCGTTCAACGATAAAATAAACGTCCACGACACAGTAACGACAGATAGTCGTGATATGGGAACAGGATAACCGCGACAGTCGTCTAACGATAAATAAAAATTTACGACACAATGGGAACGCACCCTTAGCGGGAGATCATGAGTAGATGTTAGAGTGAGACACTATTCGCTAGATTGTATGGCAAGGAAATGACAAATGAAAGAAATAAATATAATTTTATACTACATATAACACTGTGCTGCAGCTTAGAGGATGGAAAAATTAGTTTCCATAGTCTAAGTGCTGCAGGCAATTTTCCCTCTTGCATTCTCGGTCGTTCGTTCGTAAGTATAGTAATAGCTCATATGACCATTACGCAATTCATAGTATTGATTGCTCGCACCTTTTTTCTAACTACGGTATAATTTTGTATTTGTTTGTTTACGTCTGAGTTTTTTGAAACATATTGTAATTACCACAGACCACATATTTTTTCCGTGGTAATTACAATTTGCTATAGTTTAAATGAAACGCGCCTCGGTTTTAGTCTATGTTTTATTTTTATAAATAAATAAATAAATAAATAAATAAATAAATAAATAAATAAATA